TACGTGGCACTGTAGTAATTTCTGCTAATTACGGTGGTAGCATGAAGAAGGAGAATATTAGGAAGTATTATAGTCTGCTAAGCTTAATAAGGTGATTGTATGATAGCTGCCGCAACGAATGGTTCAAATTAGAAATTTGTTCAATTTTAATAACTCAAACTTTAAGTTAGTAATTGTGAATGTAAGAAATTATAGACCCATTCATTATACTAAATTGTAGACCCATTCATTACACTAAATTATGACCCATTCATTTTACTAGATTATAGACCCATTCATTTTACTAAATTATAGACCCATTCATTACACTAAATTTAACAAAGAAGTAAATATGAGACCATATTAACTCTATTAAACAAACAACTATAAATTGTATAGCCAGCGCGCGTTCTTTCATTTGCAAGATACAAGGCTAGCGAACATATCTCCAAGTCTAGTAATACTAAGCTACTTCTTTTACAGGGAATAAATAGAGCGACAAATCATTAATTAGCCATAACAGACTGCCATAGTATAAGCGTTTACAAAGTGCTTGATTGATAGTTCATTTTTAGCGACGTACGTGTAGTTTTGGACTGACTAACTTTGATTTGCATTTAGAAGTGGAGGATTGAAGAGAGATAAAACTAATTAGCCATGGGCCCAATCGCGTTGATGATCATTATTGCTATCGGGTGTATTTTTCTTAAAACCATCATTTCAACATGGATGGGCGTTAATCGTATATGGTCAGCTTTAAAAAAGGTATCTGGCCCTAAAGCAAATTGGCTAAGTGGAAATCTGGATGAAATCGGTTCGCTAGAAAAATACCTTAGTGCTGTTACTAACTTGTGCCAGAAATATCCTAAAATGTTTCCGCTATGGTATGGCCCCACTAATCCGGTCTTGATGATTAGCAGTCCCGTTGTAGCACGACAATTTAATAAATCTGCTAATACTAAAGAGATATTAGTCCATCGATTTACCCGCGAATGGACTGGACCCGGGCTACTCTATTCCAATGGAGAACTGTGGGCAAGAAACAGGAAATTATTAACGCCTGGATTTCATTTTGATGTCTTGAAACCTTACATGGTTGTCTATAATGAATGTACCGATATTTTAATCGATAAATGGGTCAAACTTGCTGAAGTCGGTAAACCATTCGAAGTTTTAGAAGATATGTGCTTATTGGCTTTCGATATTATTGTGCAATGTGCTTGTTCAACTCAGTTAAATCCTCAAACACATGGCTCCAAGCATCCGTTTTTAGTTGCATCTCGTGAAAATACCACCTTGACTGAAGCCAGATTGTATAATCCACTCTATGCTAGCAGTTTTATCTATGGATTATCTTCTAGTGGCAAGAAATTTTACTCCAATGTTGCTTATTCTAGACAGTTTGCTAAAGAGATTATAATTCAACGTAAAGCTGCTTTAGAAAATCAAGATAATGTCAATGAACACAGAAAACATCTTGATTTCCTCGACATTATGTTGACTGCTCAAGATAGCGAAGGTGTAGGTATGACTGTTGATGAAATTGTCTATCAAGTCATAACCTTTTTATTTGCAGGACACGATACAACATCTTCCTCCCTGTCATGGTTGTTGCACAGCTTAGCTGCTAATCCTGAATGTCAAAAGAAATGTCGAGAAGAAGTGGATAACGTACTTGGAAGTAGAACAAATTTAGAATGGCAAGATTTAGCACAGCTCAAGTACTTAACCTTATGCATTAAAGAATCGCAACGTTTACATCCAACAGTACCCATTCTAGGATATACACTTGGCGAAGAAATGACGGTTGAAGGATATACATTCCCTAAAGGCATGGATATTGAATTTCCTTCTTATGTCTTTCATCACGATCCAAATTGGTGGGAAGAACCGTGGAAATTTAATCCAGAACGATTTACCGCAGAAAACTCAAAAGGTCGAGATCCCTACGCTTTCATGCCTTTTGCGGTCGGAACTAGAAATTGTATTGGACAAAATTTTGCCTTGCAAGAACTAAAATCAGTAGTTGCTAAAATATTACAGCGTTTCGAGCTATCTACACCTAACTCATCGTTTCATCATATTCCTTCATTGGTTTTAAAAAACAAGGATGGAATATGGATATCTCTGAAGGAGAGATGTTAAATTGCTTTGGTTGGTTTAGATGACACTCTACCATTCTATCTAAAAGCAATGCGCCCTATCACACCTTAGAAGTTGCTTTGAATGATTTTCAATGTAAATCGTTTTGCAAGCACTCACCATCACTATGTGATTTCTTATTCTTTACCGTATATATCAATTCATTAATAGATCAAAGTTAGACTTGGTAACATGCTGGCTTTTCGCTAGAAATAACCGGATAGTTTCCTTTAGATAGCATTATAGCTACTCCCTTCACCCTATGTAATGGTTCAGTTATGCAGGTTTACTCTATTATATAATCTTGCGGAAGAACACTTTTTGTGTTTATTGCTAATGTGGAAGACATTTATTAACTATAGGCTATGACTGCTGTAATCCACGTTTCTTGATAACATTTTTACGTTTTACTAATTCTAAAGGTTGTGCTAGAACAAGGTTTACTTTCACACTTTTATGGTTATAATCAATCGTTAGCGTGGCTAGTGCAGCTCAAGATTCCATTCTTATTTCTATATAATTATTACTTTGTTTTTACGACGGTCTTGCTCATAGGAAGTTTTCTCCATATTTTCTATGTTTAATTTATGAGCTGAAATCATGAATAAAGTAATTCACTTCAATCTTCATCATAATCTAGACATAGTCATTATAGTTTTACTTCTTATAGCTTGAGAAGTCTTCAGTTCAACCCTATTTTAAATCTGGATTTTTCAGTGATCAATAAAGCATTTCGATTGCCAAATCAAAGATAGAAGCGGAATATTTTTACTAGCTACTTTTTCTATCAGCTAATAAATTTGGCGATGGATAGAAAGATTTTAGATGGGAGAAAGGTTCACCCCTACTTAGTCACGGATAAAGATTCAATATTTATATTACATACTTAGTCTACGGCATGATCGGTAAAAGATTAATTATAAATCATGTTATATTATACATTGTCTCTATAGCAAGCAAATGCCCCTAAAGAATATAGAAATCAGTACGATATAGGGTTTAGTTTAACGTTGATATGGACTAGCCTAAAGAATAGCGGAAGTAGTAAAATTAAATAGTCATTATCCATCTACTGTTATTGGCATACGCTAAAATAGATGATTGGAGTTGCAACTTTATCTTGAAAAGCATTTTTCTATTACACGATAGTCAATTAGCAGCACCGAAGACACTAATGCTACTACAACTAGCTTTAAACTATTCTTTGTAAGACAATTACAGTAGAGAATAATTTAACCTATTCTATGCAGGCTTTTGTACTTATTAATTATCGCCAAATGTTAGAAACTGATGTCAATGAGGGAATTTATTCTAAACCCGCCCACTCCGCCATCATCTATAGCCCGTGTCTGTATCCAAATTATATACAGTATGCTAATATTTGTACTACAAATGACAATCAAATGCCGAGATAGAAGTAAAAGATTGTAAAATCATTAAAATAGATATAATAGCTAGCTTCCAAATATAGCAAGTTTATTCTAGCTATAGCATAGTTAACGTAAGTAAAATAACGTTCAATCTCCTTCATCGTTCCTTGCTTCATAAAGTGGGCTATTTTCTTATTGTAATACTATAAAATAACAGCTGATAGCAATCTGTAATGCTTTACTCAATTATTATCCCTATTGGGTGAGATTTACACCTATTGCGTTGCGTCCAATAATACAGTAACATTTTTGATGTTCATTTTGTAAGAGCTAAGTTTAACAACCAATCACTCTACTGGCTTTTTTTTGCTCAATGCTTAGTATTAGTATCCCTAATATTAAGGCTTTTGGTAAAATTGATGTGTGCACATTATGCCATTTTAAATGATATAAAACCTACGCTTAAGATGTAAGATGCTCTTCTTAAGCAAAGATTACATAGACATAGAATGTAGATGAGTTTTGCGATATAATATTGTGATAAAGTGTCGCAAAATAATTCAGCGAAGCTTCGATTATACGTTCACTGAAAAAATAACATACTACCGGTACTGAACGAGCAGCAATGAACAGATATTGTATAAGTTAGTTCCTTCATCGTCATACTAGCGTCTTATATTAATCTATTAACAAAATTTAAAGCCTTAAAATATCATAAAATTACATCCTCTAGATATCTCTCAAAAACAGGAATCTGTATAGCCTTACAATCTAACATGTAGGCATGGACTATGAAGCACATGTGGACTGCATTTCACAATGCAGGTTGATCCTTAAATATTAGATCACTAAAAATAGAATATTATAAGCAACATGTATATACTTTAATTGATAAATGTCTTCATAAATGCATTAAATTAGTTTAAGAAATCTAGGAGTATCGGTACATTCTTGAAAGGCTATTTTGTAACAAACTTTTCATGCCTCCATCTTATTCATATATATCAATAACATTTTGGAAGAATGCTTTAGCA